TCCCGTACAGGCCTGATTTTTTTCAGGTCTGATTTTCGCTATTGCTTAAATAGCGCTATCTACTGCGAGGATCGTGCATCATACGTATCTAATACCGCAGTTCAAAATATATGAACTTCATATATTTCATTGTATCTGATTTATCACTTTTACGGGTTTATTACGAATCAACTTAACGGCCTGCTCCCAGTTGGCTTGTTAGCTCAATTGGTAGAGCGCTGCACTAGTATCGCAGAGGTCAGTGGTTCGAATCCCGTAAAGGCCTGATTTTTTTCAGGTCTGATTTTCGCTATTGCATAAATAGCGCTATCTACTGCGAGGATCGTGCATTATACGTATCTAATACCGCAGTTCAAAATATATGATCTTCATATATTCATTGTATCTAAAGAAGTCGCCATCAAATCTATATTTGCCGTACATAAGGTTAAAAACGAAGTTTCCTTTCAATAAGCAAGTACAGTTTACCGGTCTTGCTACAGAATAGAGCCAATCGCCTCGAATCGTATGAATAAACAGAGGAACTCGCGATAAGGTGTTACTTAAGCTGTCTGTCGACTAGCTGCTTTGCTTTTCAGCAGTTTCTCCAGCTTTACCTTTTTTGCCGCGGGTTTTTTCTTTGCCAATTTTGCCCATTACTCAACGTTCAACAGAGCGAGATAAAAAAAACGTGACTGCTATGCGATACTCTTCCCGGGAAAATCTTGATGCATTTTCTCTGACCCCAGGAGGTCCCGTCTTCCCATTGGTTTGCAGTGTCAAGAGGAAAGATAATCTCTTGGTGTGGCGCTTGGAGTTTACAAACCTTTAAGAACTAAAATATCGCATTTGATTTTGAGAAGAATGCATCCACTCTGAGCGAATTTATAGGGTATATAGATTTGACCCATTTTCGTGAAATTTTCCCAAAACATTCCAGGGATAATGACGAGCGAAAGTGTGTGTCAGGAAATTTTGATATTTGAAATATTTTTCACTTGGTGTCCATTTACGCAACACGTCTCGCATTTTTTACGCTACTCTAACTTTGGATACGGATATCCAGACAACCAATCAGAATATCGGAAAAGCCTGACACACTTTTATTGATTGATGTCTTGTGAATAAGACTGTGCAGCCATTTTGCTCGTACAGCGAGATCCGATACCCGATAAATTCAATAGAAGGACCCTTGGTCGTTTCACGCCTTACCGGCTCCTGATACTCCCTTAACCCCTCACACATGTGATAATCCTTTCGTGTTTTCCACATGAAGACGAGGCTAGTAAGTCAAAAACAATGATAATTCAAATTGAACGCCATATTTTGATTCGGTGAATTAAACTTTCTTTTGATGTATAGCTTGTTAGGGTTTTCTCCAAACTAGCGCGCGTCCGAATTTTTTCCCGAAGGACACCCGCGAAGGAGGGAAGTAATCTTAAAAGGTAGCATTAGGTAACAACTTTGTCTTTCATTAATAAGAGCAAAGAGGTACTTAGCCTTTTAAAAGGTCTTAATTTTTTGTCAATGTTACTTGGTGTTTGTAAGGAAGGAAATCAATCAGAATAAAATGAGCTCAAAATCCTAACAGGAAAGTTTAAAATGATTTATGTAATTAAGAGCTTTAGATGATGAAAAACTAGCCATGATGGACGATGCAATATAGGTGATTTCCAAAAGCAAAAAAATCTGTTTTTGTCGGCTTGGGCACAACGACAAGTGAGTCAAGGACTCAAGATTCCATGCAGCTGGAATAACATGGGGGTTTTATTGCGTTCCAAACTAACTGCTGGATCGCACTGCAAGGTTTTTCCAGTTCGGCACTGATCTTGTGGAACTTGCAATTGAGAAGGGAGGCCGGCATTTAAACTCTTTTTGCTCGATTGATTTACTGCTAAGGTGAATAGCGCGCCTCATATTTTAATTAAGACCGTAGTTAATAGAGAAAAAAATTCCTTCACGTCTCAGACCCGCCTTTTCATGGGTCAGGTGTTCGGGCCAGCTCCACTTCTATTCCAGATGAAGAGAATTGACCAGTTTCTGATCGTGATCTTGCAATAGCTTTTGGTGAATGCGCGTGACTGACTTTTCCGTTTAACCAATATGTGACCAGTTTTCCTTTACCCTACAAGTAAGAAAACATGACTATGAAAAAGAAAAGAACGAAATTCGAGGAGGTATGAGATAGAAATATGAATGCATCTTTTGAAAGAGCAGCTTGCTCGCGTGAGTTTTGTTTAATTTCGGCGTACCAATAAAAAGCAGCTATAGTGCAAGGTTTCATTTACGGAAGAAAGTTAATCAGCTCGATGAAATTGATTTCGCTTTTCATAGATCATTTCAAAAGTCTGTCAGGATACCAAGCTCTATTGAAAGATGTGTCGTGAACGACATTACCCATGAGAAAAGTGTGGTGCCGTTAATGTTAAGCATTAGATCAAAGGGTTCTGGTGAGATGCTTACATGCGCATACCTACCTATACCTACCTACCTACGCTTATCATTGATACATGCGAGTATCCCAAAGCCGAAAAATGAAATAAAACGCCTTTGCCTTCGGGAGTAACGAATTTTACAGTTTGAACTTGTAAAAATGATAAATTTACTCCACAAACCTTGACTACAATTGATCCTCGTTCGGTCATGTTATAATCTCCAAATGTCTCCAAAAACTCTTTGGTGGCTGCGCTGATGTGGATCTTTAAAGCTGATATGTTCACAAAGTTAAATGACTTAAGTTAACGTTTAAGTTAAACAAAAACTAGGAGGAACCTGTCTATGAATTGGAAAGTATTTCGCCCCTGAGTGTCTCGGAGCGATGTTCGATTGAGTGTAATTAAGTAAATAAATAATAAATAGTTTAGCAATGGACATTCTACTGGGTGGGTTTTCTTGTCCACTGCTTCCCGACAGCCAATCAGAGGAAAGGAAAATACCTTTTATGGGCCAATGAGAACTCAAAGTAAAACCAATCAGCCCAAGGCGCGGGAAAATGTGGGCGACCAAGTAGTGATTGGTTTTAGTTTTGGATCTGATTGGTTAAGAGAGTGGCGCGAGTTATTTGGACCAGTCACAGCGAAATAAAACAAAAACAAAGCGATCCCGGATTACTTTCGATCAGTCGATTGAAAATTGCTCTGACACTAAAACCAAAGTAATCATAAAAGCTAATCAGAACGAACCAATGCGCCACAGGAATAAAAAGAGGAAGAAACTAAAAATAAATGCATCGTGCAGCCGGTGTTAAGTGTGGGAAAGCGCGAGTCACTAATCAGTTGCGATCGACTAAATTGTGCATCTTATTGGTTGAGATTTTTTTTATGACCAATACATACATACATACATACACTTTATTGAGCATCCCTGAAAAGGGCTTTTCAGCATCAATATTAAAAATAGTAAAACTAAATAAATAACTTAATAACTATATACTTTCATATTACTTATATATTACTTAATTACTATATGCAAACAACAATTATCATCAAAGATCGTTCATGTTACAAATCAGTTCATTGATTAAACTTCTCTTAAAGACCTTAGTACTCGGAGAGAGAAGAATCGGAGAATCGGAGAGAGAAGTAAACAAAAGCCAGTGCAATCCGCGTAGCTTTCTTCATTTTTTCGGCACACGTGTAAAGAATATGACATTTTAATATCTACTCTGGAAAAGAAAATCACTTTTGCAGACCTCGCGAACGCTGAAAAGATTTTTATTTGCTAAAGAGATTTGGCTGAAAGCCATTATTGCGACGTAGAAAGGAACTTCATGCTATTTTCATGTATAAATTCATTAACAACCATTTCTGTCACTCTATCCCTGTCACATTCAATGGTGATTTTCATAGTTACACACAAGATCGAGAAATGACATTTGCAAATCCAGTGCCACAAGAAGATGGGGTCATTCATTGGTCGTCAGTGAATTTTAGCGCTGATATATGGAACGGGTTAGACACCTCATTAAGGAATGCAGAGTCACCGCCTACTTTTAAGCGTGGCCTGTCCAAAGTTATCTTTGATTCTTAACGACATTCTTTGCTTTTTATCCTTTGTATATTCCTTTATCTTTTACATTCTTGTATTTTTGACTAGTTATATTTGATGCTTGATGATTGTTTATACTTTTTTAATCTTTTAAATTTTTGTATGTTTGACTAGTTCTTAATCTAAACTTAGTATTCTTTTGAGGACCCTTCTGGAAACCACTTGGTGACGTTGGCATCCTCATTAAAGATTACTGCTCCCTCACTCAAGAGGACATTGCTCTTGGTGAAATGTTTGACACGTCCTCTTCACTCGTCCAATTGCAAACGTGTTGATATCTCGAGAGAAATCATACATTGATCACTCACCTTCTCCATTTGACTCCATTCTGGAGGCAGTGTTCACTGTATCGCCAAACAGACAATAACGAGGCATTTTCAAGCCAACAACGCCAGCGCAAACGGGACCTAAAATGAAAAATCAATAAAATTTGATGCCTCCTGTTTGCTTTTAACTAAACCAGGCTCATGGAGCAGGCTCGAATTTTTTGGATCATTGTCAGTATCCGAGCGACTGCACATGCCTACCCCTCCCCTGACCCAAGATACCTGTTCCCCCCTGAGGCTCTGACATGTTCTTATGATCATTAGCAGTAAACTGCCAGTCATTTTTCCATAGCCCCCCCCCTCCGTTGGCTACGACTGATATACATTCCGTGCTCCCTGAAAACAATGTGATCCCTCCCCAAATTCCTCAAGTGATAAAAAATGACTGGTTCCTTACCACTGTGGATGCCAATTCTGAGCTTGAGCTTCTCTTCCGGACGGTGCTTTATTTTAAATGTCTGCACAGATTGTAGTAGATGAAGTGCCATGTCAGCTATCTCTAGGGAGTGTTGATGGCCATTTCTGATTGGTAGACCAGAGACAACCATGTAAGCGTCACCAATAGTCTCCACCTTAAGAAGAGGCAATATAAATGGCGGGTTGAAACTTTGACCTGTATGTATGTACGTACGTATGTATGTATGTATGTTTGTATGTATGTATGTATGTATGTATGTATGTATGTATATATTTATAACATAACCAAAGTGAAGTGTGCGCTCTGATTGGTCAGTTCATCGTCCACCATTTGCCGATGAGTGTATGGGCAAATGGTGGACTATCAGTCAAAGGACGATGCGGCCACCTAGCGGCATTTATCAGTCGAGGCAGAAAACGCGAACATTGGTCATAACTAAAAGTAAAGATGTGGAAAATAAACTTAAAAAAGAGAGAAGTTTCTCTGTAAAACACCCTCTGAGAGCCGACATGTTGTTCACTTTGGTTAAACTTTAGATAAACTTATGAATGTCTTAATTTATTTTGTACCTTATACACGTCATATCCATGGATTATTGCGTCAAATGTGGTATACAAGTCATTTAACAAGGTCACAATCTACTAGGAAAGAAACCGGAAAAAAATATGAGGGAAATCAGCTGACTGTTTATTGTTCGTCAAATATGCAGAATGTCTCGAGTAATTGTCAGTCACAAGTATGAATACCACGATGTGTAAGGGACCTGTTATTATTTATCACCAGGGTGGGGGGAGGATTATCTCTAGTCCCCGTTCCCCCTTAAAAACCGAGTGATCCCCAAATCTTCTGAGCCCCCCTCCCCCCCGCGACAAATAATGTCTGTTCTCTGGAGACTGTAAATTCCAATTCGACCTGAAAAGCCACCTGATGGAGTGTCCACCGCTAAATTCCCATTTCCATTCAGTCCATTCTCAAGGACTCGGCGCTTAGGATAAAGTAATTTGGGTTAAAATGTTTGCGACGAAAGCTGGCTCATCTCTGTAAAATAAACCTAGAGCGTATGCTAGAATGTAGTGCGTACGAGATATAAACCCTGGATCGATTATCTGCGCAACTGTGCACTTACCCCTCCCCTGACTTGACGACCGTCAACTGATAACAAGTTTGGGCTGATGTTGGGAGGGAGGGGAGGGGTGGGTGCGCAGTTTCTCAGATACTAAAATTGATTGGAAGCCCCTATAGGAAAATGCTCAGAGTGTGACGTTTATTTGATGGAAAGCAGAGTAGGGAATTTCGTCCTAAGTGATATGCGACAAAAAGTTTGTTTAGCATCGATGAGATTTCTCCGGTTAAAAAGTAAGGAGGATTTCCAAATATTAACAGGGTTGTAGTAGAGTTCACCTCTAAAGGGGTACTCTCTGAGGAAAGCGCAGTGAATCCCACGATGTCGCTAAAGAATAATGTTACTTCGTCAAAACTTTCAGCCTCTACCGGTCTTCCACTTTTTAACTGATCAGCGACACTCCTTTTGAGAAATTCAAATGAAAGCAACATCATTGAGTTTTAATGGTATCTATGATTTGAGGGGTGCATTGGAGCTTGTTGAGAAAGAACCAATCGAATTGTCGCAAATTCCTGTAAATGCTCAGTTAAATAGGGTTGCCAAACTAAAACTTTCCCTAGAAGGACCCTTCCAGGTTGTTCTTACTGCTTCAGAATACATGGCCACGGTGGTGAGGGAGAGAGTCCATGGGGAGACTCACTGAGATTTCACTGAATCCTGTACCTTCTTCATTTTAGACATTTCGTCACCTTGATTTTGACGACGCAACACCGAAATACGAAGTCAATGTTTTGGTTCACGCGCACATGGTTTTTCCTTAATACATGTCATTTGTAGCTACTTTCACGTTTATTCCCAAATGTTACCGAGCAAGAGGGACAAAGGGCAAATAAAACTGCCTTATATTGATATATTTACAAACTCCTTCATTTACTCCTAATTTCCTAATTGTTTTATTTTCAAAATTAACAACGCACTCTCTAGAAATTTTTAAGCCCAGCCAAATGAAAGAAGTGTTCAAAAATTTATGTAAATATAAATAGCAAAGATGATATTTACTTCGGAAGCATGTTGTGAAGCAGTTCATCTGTCCTCTTCTTTTCTTCAATCCACTGTTCAGTTCTTTTTTCAACGAGCTTTTCCAGGTTGAGTGAATGTTCTTCCAGCATGTAAATTATTTTATCTACAAGGTTGTTCCTAAACGAGAACGAAAGTAATGATCATCGAAATGGGTCTAAGCCTCTAAACGAAGAGGTAAGTGTGTCATTAGTAAATCAGACATGACACTGTAACATGTAAATAAAGAATAGATTCTCGCACGTAGATTGAAATTAAGCAACTGCAGAAAAGAAGCCGGAAAAAATTCGGGCTTCGATGTAATTCGAACCCAGGCCTCCCAGATAATAGTTGGGCGCTACCACCAACTGAGCGTCCAAGCCACACGTCGGAAGCAAGGCAAATTTAGGGGGCTCATCTTTCCCGGAAAGAAGTCTAAGGAGTCTTATCCAAATTCTTTAATGATGCATAATATACTTTCCCATGTCACAAGTTATATCTGTTGTAAGCCATGAACAGTTGTTAAAAGAAGAAAAAAATTGACTCTCACCTTCTCCCGTGGATTTTCTTCAATAGCTTCCTTATCTCCCAAAATTCAGGCCTTTCCTCCGGATTCTCGTTCCAGCACATTTTCATCAAGAGGTGAAGATCTTCTTTAGCCACATTGGCCGTGAGTGGAGGGCGGAAAGGAGGATTGGTACTGGCCAAAACGCGACCAACAATTTCTGTAACGAACACGGTAGTGCATGCATTGTTTCAAAATTATTCCGTCCATTCTATTCTACTTAGACTAACAAAAGATAAATGACCCAGATTTGTTTGAGATTGACCGAGACTCAAGCCAGGAGCATAAGTACATCCACTGACTGACGGGTAGTGGTATCTCGTTAGAAGAAATGGGTTTAGTCTAAAATATGGCGTGGATATAACGGACTTTTGATCTAAGGAGAAAAATGATAAATAACTGAGAAGCCGCCGGACTAAGTTGATGGCATGGTGAAGAAACCTTATTGGGCCAAAATAAACTACGGCTTATGCTCAAAACACTAATTTTCAAAACGACCTTTCTTCGGGCATTTCCTAAGCTTAACATGTTAAAGTAAGATTGCAAAAGGAGTTTGTGTCGATAGGGAGGGGGTTTTGTTGTTAATATCATAGGTGACAAATTACTTCTTAATTTTGGCGCGAAATTTCAGCGTTAATTTTTAATTTCACATGTGAAATTACAAAATTGCCATGGTAACATCTCTTGTATCTCGATCAGAGCCAAGATGGCGTCGAGATTTAAGACGGTGACCCTTGAAGAAGTTACGAAATTAAAAGAAGCGGTCGAAAATTATTAACAGGGACGAAGAATTCTAAAGGTATTTTTTGTAAAGAAACTCAGAAAATTACGAACTTTAACAATAATGTATACTTTAAACGAAAACTATATATTCTTCTTCATGTTCTCGGTTTTCGATAGAATAAACCAGTAAAAACAATTACGGTTGCGAAAGTAATTTGTCACCCACGATATTAAAAGGTAATCAAATGGTTTTCTCGTGAAATTACGAAATAATTTCACTTGCGTTTTGTCAAAATTCTGATAATTTCCCGAGCCTTTAGGCTCGGGAAATTATAAGAATTTTGACAAAACGCGCGGACAAAACGCGCGCAAGTGAAATTATTTTCTATGTTCACTCGTCGCCATTTGATTACACATACATATTTTGTACAAAATGGTGGTATGAATAATCCTTACGTAGTCTAATGCGGGTTAACTGAGGTTTCAACAGCATCGGCCAATAACTCTACAGAGTGCATTCCCGAATAGAACCGAACCCCTATTTTCTGCACAAAAAAGAATTCTACGCATGTATTAGAGAGACCCATTCTTGCTGCATTCATACACAACTGAAATTTTTGTTATACATGTTTGTGTTACGTATGCTCATATGTGTCGTTTACCCTTGTGCTCTTTCAATTTGTAGCGTATATTTAATGTGCTCGGTAGGCCTTGATTTTTATGGTTAGACATGAAGCTCATTGCAATCTCTACTGGAAGCTTTTGGAAATCTACTTTGTGGCATCCCAGACGATTGTCTTTCCTTACCCTCTACCTCGAGGTGGCAGTCGTGAAATGGCAGGTGTCTGGTTTCCAGTTCATGTACTATGATTCCAAAGCTATAAACATCTCCTTGTGGAGTACCCCTGTACGGGCTATGTTTCTGGCGTAAAAGTTCAGGAGCAGTCCACAACAGCTCTATGAAATAATGAACCATTTTTTTTCTTCTTTGCTATAGGCAACCTACATACTCGATGAGTTCATTTCCGTAAAGGGCGAGAACAAAGAAGGAACGGGGGCATAAAATAGGTGGGCCACGCGATCATAGATTACATTTCACGGGTCTTACATTAGTCCAGTTTTAATATTATTGAGTAGGCATTAATCCTCGTGAAGTTTCACACCGACCGTTAAAATCATGTGAAAAAGAAAGAGTGATTCAAACTTATCAGTTTTATTCGTAGTGTCATATCATTATGGAGGAGTTTTCTCTTTTCTTCTCTTAACATTCTTGACAAAAGAAGAAAACTTAAAGATCTCAAAAAATGTCTCAGCGTAATCGCTGTATGTATGAAATACTCAAACACCACGGGTTCGGCCTTAATGTTTGACCCTGCTTTCTTTGAATTCTAATCTTTACGGTGATCGGCACACAAGAAATCAACGAAGTAAGGAGATCTGTTTTCAAACCGTACTAGAGTAGTCTTTCACATAACTGCAACTTCTCACGCTGAGACGTTCGTTGCGTGCTTTAAATTCCCTAAGCCCGTGGTCGGTGATCTTTAAAATCCAGCGGCTATCTATCACGCAGTTAGAGGACGTGAGATGTCCATGAAATTTGATATCAGCGCTGTGAAGATATTCCATCCCCTGGGTAACAGTAATAATTATAAGAGTAATGATAATGATTGTAATGATATGATAATGGAAGTAAAAAGAATACAGTATGCAACATGGAGGAACAACTAGTCAGTGATTGCACCGATACAAAAATAGACCAACATATAAAAAAACAAGTACGATAGAGAAAAGATAGCTTTTGGTTAGAAATTGGTTTATCTTACCGTTGTAATTTCCAGGATAAAACTATGGATAAATATGCTGTCTAACTTTATTTCCTCGTTTAAATTGATCTCCTATGATAAAACAGCAATGAGATATTTCAGTACAATTTTCACAGAGCAGATCCACGGCAAAATGGAAGCTATTTGTTTTATATGATAAAACAGCACAATTTTGTTGGTGCTGACGCCATCTATACGTTTGTCCTCCAACAGATCACGAGTAGAAACCAATAAAAATGCGTGAATAAATGCGTGAATTTAGCTTATCATATTGATATCCATTTGTCACATATCACCTGCAAAGTTCCTCTAGAGCAGTATTCTGTGAGAATGCAGATGTTGGGAGCGTCCACACAGGCGCCAAAAAACTTGGTCAAATTCGGGTGATGGACTTCACGAATCTGTTATGGGATTACGGCACATTATTGTTAACGATCTTCTGTGTTGTACTTTTTAAACCTATTTAACTATCAATTAAAGAGCTATTTTATGTGGGATCGATAAAATGAATCGGTGTGGTCGTAAAGACGCCGCGGAGGTGCCGCTGTTACTACGTCCCACCCCGTTCGCGGCGTCGCTGCTTAAATCTCGCACAGCACAAAGTATTGTGAAGTAAATTAGAAGTCGTTATTTTGATGTTTTTTTCAGTTTAGCTTTGTTTTGTTGAGCCTTGCCTTTTGCGCCTACGTGTTGTTTTGGTAGATTTGTATTTTTTTGGCTCAGCTCGCGGATTTCCTTATTGCTGTGTTCGACATTTTAATCGCTTGTTATGGTTGAGAATAATTAGTTTCATAGTTGGTCGTGTTTGCGCTGGTAAAGCTGACCTTGAGTTCTACCCACACTGAAGTTCCTGTTTGAGTGCGCGATTCCTGTGCGCAGAAAGTGCTTCAGTGAGGGCCACCCAGTTTCCCCCTTTTTGCAAAATAAATGGATACACTGTGGAAACTCTCACGGTCAGCTAACCCAAACATGTCTACGGTTTTCCTACTTAAAGCGTTAGTACGTCTCGCTAGATCATTAGATGCATAGAGCATCAGATGCACAGAGCATTAGATGCATAGAGCGTCGCTGTAGTAGCTCTCGAGAAGAGAATAAAAGAAGAAGAGTACAGAGTCTTGGCACCTCTCGTTAATTCGGCCGAGCGAGCTGTAAAACCCTCAACAAAAGTAACTAGCTTCGCAGACTTCCGAAAGTGATCATGTGAGATTGTATCGATTAAGTGTACTGACCTGTTTTAGTTCAAGGAGCACAGTTCTTCTTAAGTCAATATGATTTTTCTCAATGCTTTTTATGACCACTGGATGTCCCTAGGAAGGAAGTGTCGAGACTGCCATTTTACTTTCAGATATAACATTTGCAGAAAGTAGACTGACTTCGTTGTTATCTTCCCCCGAAAAACATAGACAAAAGAAAACAATATGTTTCTTCCCAAATAAATGATTAACGGTTGCCTGACGAGAAACTTCTCTTGATGATTGCTTCTCCTCTTCAACTTTTGCCTGCTTCCGGACGTTCAGTTAAAAAAAACGATCGCAATAGAAAACGGCGCGCTGGAGCGAAAAAACGAGTGAGGCTCGGGCCGCGGGCTTTACTATTTTTACCGGTGAGCCCTCGACGATAAATACATCCAAATTCGATCTAAACCAATTCCCAAACAAAGATGGCAGAAATATAACTTCTTTAATTTCCTTAGCAGGAAACAAAAAGAACCGTAAAACTTTGTCCAGCGACGAGGGTGATGAACTGGTCTAATCGTAAGGAATCTAAAGAAAATGCTCCATTTCACTTCGAAACTAACAAGACAACTTGTACTACTTTTCCCCGCATAAGTGTTTTTGGAAATTCGCGCTAAGAAACTCGGGAAATTACCCAAGTGCCTCCTGTGGCTTAGCGTTACCTACAACTATTTCGCGAGGGTTTTGTACCGTTTTACTCGCTGAAAATCCGGAACAAGCCACCTCAATCAAATGAATGGGATAAAATAATATGAAAACAAATTAAAACACACAAAGTAAATTCTAGTAGGGTGGTCGGACGCGGACGTCTAAATTTTTTCTTTTATATACCTTATATGTTCCCAATGTCATACCGCACCGAGATCTGTTTGCCGTTGATATCTAAAAGAGAGTAGATGCAAGTGAGCAACATATACAGTTATGTTTCATAGTTAGTGATCGATAGATCCACGGTCACTTAAGTTGAGAGTGAGGATCGTTTTTGGGCTCAGTTCGGTGTCAAATATTTCAAAAGCTCACCGCAAACAGAGTTTGTGGTTAGTCAACTGTTTGTTTTCTTTTTCGGTTAAGTAGTTTACTTGACTTTATGAGGGACCAGTCATTATATAGCGCCGGGGGGAGGGGGTGATGAAGGATTTTTGAGGGAGGGTACGAACGCATTTCAGGAGGGAGTGGAGAAGGATTTAGTCGTAGAAAATTGACTGCCAATTAACTGCCAACCAGGTTGGGGTGGGGGCTGTCATAAGAACATAACAGAGCCTTAGTAGGGAATCAGGTAGCTTTTAGCGTGACCAAAATCCTCCAGAAGATTAACAGAAATGAAAAATAGGATGGACGACAATATGCGAAGCCTGAATTTTTAGTTGCTCATAACCTGAGCAAGAATTCACAACAACACTGTCACACCTCACTCATGTTTGATATTCTTGAAACACCAATACCCGTGGCAGGACAAATTACGATGTCTTCATATTTCACCCTCCATATTTGACTCGCCAGTTCTTTTTCAAAGGCGCGTTTCCTATTAGGATGAATTTAAAGAGCGAAAATGAACCATATTACTATCACAACTAGAGAGCAGAAGTGGAAGATGGTGTGAAAGTACAAGTGCATGAGAAAACTCCCAGAGGAAGGCTGCGATCAACGTTTAATTCTCTGTGACGTTATAAGAGAATGTCCTCATCCACTGCATATCGTTGAGATGGATGCCTGCCTAAGGAAGCTATTTAATGCGGCCCAAAACGTTAACCCTTGAACTCTAAAGATCTGATTATCAATTCTCCCCGGCCTCTAACTGCTACACTTTTCCTTCCAAATTAATGGAAAGAATTTCGTGTTAGATCTAGATAAGAATTTCTACCTGATAAGTTTAAGTATTCTCATTACCTGTTTGCTGAATAGCCAGCATGTTGACCACTTTCATAAATGGCTGCCAGATTAATATTCTTTTGTTTAAATTTAAATTAGCCCTTTTGGCCTCGCTTGAGATAATGTATTCTTTTGAATTTTTATACTGGAGAACGAGGCCAGAAGGGCTAATTTGAATTTAAACAAAAGAATATTAATCCGGCAGCCATTTATGAAAGCGGTCTATGGAACTTGGTAGAAATGGAAATGTCAGATTACCGACTACTTCTGACAAATTTACGAATATTTGTGTCCGTTAGCTAGATCGAGCAATAAACAAGGTTTGACGATGTTTGGAGTGCCACGCTGGGTACAAAAAGCGTGCATTCATCCAAGCAGCATAACTAAATCTTAAGTCGCCCTTACCTAGAGCTCTACTGTGGTTAGCGTTCGTGGAAACACAGCGATATACGAAAGTTAGTTCTCAGAAATCGGCACATGTACTTACATTACATGATCGGATGCACCTCTTTGAAATTTCGTCGATAATCGACCAACACGGAAACCTTTAACGATCAAACTGGTATTAAATGGTACGAAAGAGGTGCTATGGAGAATGTAAACTCCAAAATGGCGAAAGGATAATTCGTACTGCCGATGTGCTGCACTTGGGAAACCCCCTATCCCATACTGCACAGTATGCGCGGTCTGGTCAACCCTGTTTAGCTGGTTTGCCGCACGTGGTCAGCTGGATGTGCGTCGACAACAAAATTTTCTTCGTAGTTTTCTCACTTTCTTGAGAAACGAGATGGTAGAGGTTTCCCGAGGAGCAATACTAACGAGTTTCTCAGTCGGGCGATTATTCTTATATTATCATATCTTATTAGACGTTTTGTTGTGTAGTATCGTTAACGTAGGCGAAGCGGAACGGAATTTGCGCGTTGTCGTATTGCTGTTTCTATTTTCTTCAATAAATGAAGAAATGTGCTGGTCATCTAGCTGTTTTTCTTCGTTTGATTCATCTAATAAACCTGGAGCTATATTTCCCAGCCGTTTCAACTCTTCATCGTCAGAAATATAATTTAAATTGTCCGCCATTTATTTTCGTAACTTCAGTCCGAGAGAACCTGTCTTAACGTTTTCCTGTGAAGTATCGCTGAGGAGAGAAGTCGTTGTCAGTGGAGATGGAAATTGTTTTACCGAGCTATCGCTCTCTGTAGAGACGAAATAAGTGATGAGAAACATGAAGAAATCTGCATGTTAAGTTCTAGTTTTATAGAGAGAAATCCAAAAGTGTTTGAGCCGCTACTCTTCGCTTCCAAATTCCGTGGAGGATCATGTCAAGAAAAGCAAGATC